TGCTGAGGGCCAGGGTTTGGGGGTGGGATGGCAGGGGTAGGGGAACAGTTGGGCTGGGGGAGCTTAAAGGGCTTTTCCCACCCAAATGATTCTATGAAACGGCAGCAGGGCCGGCGGCTGTGTGAAGGGAGAGGGAATGAGCAGCGAATCCCTTGTGCTTTCTCTGGATCCCACCTCTGGAGGAGGGAAGGGGATCGGTGCGATTGCTCTCGGCAAAGGTTTGCTCCAGAGGTCTCTCCCTCTGCCCTACCTTGAAAGCCGAGCTCTTCCCAGTGCGCCCCGTAGCGCGGGCAGCCCAACCGGGAGCGGGTTAGCTTCTTGTAAATGGTCTGCAAGATTCTCATGTGCACTCTCTCGTTATCATCCAAACCACCTGGTGGAGAGAAAACTCCCCTCAGCATCCAAAAACCACCCCTCAGCATCCCCGCCCCGCTGCTCTCCAGCACAGTGGGGAGGGAAAGCCCCACCAGCTGTGGGGCAAAGCCAGAGTCCATCTGGAAATGAAATCCCGCAGCCGAGAATGGCTCACAGAGACAAGGAGAACGTCCCAGCTGCATTTATCCAGCAGGAGGGGAGAAAGGAAGGAGAAAAAAAAGCCTTAGAGGTGCCGAAACACAAATAGTCTGATGGTGTGTTATGTGAGCAGGGGGGCAGCGAACCATTTGGGCTTCATGTGGAGTTTGGTGGCTGAAGCAGCGCTGCCCGGGGAACCACGACCAACCGCAAGCCACGGGCGAGGAGCCTCCGTGTGATCCACCACGGGACAGCCAGAGATGACACGCCTCAGGCCAAGGTACTGGGGAGATTCATATCTTGTTTGGTTCGGTCATGAAACGAGGAGTGGGAAGGGAATGTGGAACGAACGGCTACCGCGGCCCAATGGAAGGGGATCAAGAGATCCATCATTCCCCCCCAAAAGTGAGAATGTCCACAGCAGGGGAGCAAAGCAGACAGAGAATGGGTCCTTTGGGACACACAGCTGCCATGGGGTAAGCTGGCAGCGACCCCACTGCACCCCAAGCCCCCCTCGAGTCGCTTCTCACGATAAAGGCGACACCGGCCGGGCCAGCGGCTCATGCTGGGGACACTCACACTGCGCCATGGCCAGAGCCAGCTCCCGCTCTCCCTGCAGCTGCGGCTGGAGCCGGGGAGGGCCGAAGAGGAGGTGAAGCAGAGCAGCCAGGCCCTGCCTGCGCACCGTCGCCCGGACCTTCTTCTGTGGAGGAGAGGACATGCAAAGAAACGATCGGGGCTGGTCCCTCAGGGAATCGGGCAGGAGAGAAACCCGTGGGTGAGCCAGGATCACGCAAAGAGCCAAGCCGAGGGAAGGCAGAGGGAAGGTGGAGAGGCAAGAGGGGAGCGCTGCACTTCTCCCAACGCACTCCCCTCTCCTACTTACTAAAACTACCCCCCAGGAGAGGGCAAGAGCGCGGGGCCCTGCCCATACCCTGCACTCGGAGAGGTCGGCTGTCTGGAAGTACTGCAGTGCTTCGTTGAAGGAGATTGGGGCTGCAGCGCCGGCTGATGTCCCCCCCAGCCCTGAAGGGGGGCAGAGAACAGCGTTAGCCCCCCCCAGCAGCATGAGCCCTGCCCTCTGCTCCAGCTTCCCGGTGCTGAAACAAGCTCCCACCTCAGGCCAGAGCGGCCCTTCCAGCGTGGGGAGCTCACTCCCAGCTTCCAGCATGGCAGGAGGGCAAAGAACTGGGGAGCTGGGGGAAGGCAGCGGGTCTCCCGTCCCCTCCCTCCCCCTCCAGACCTTCAGCCCTTTCCCCAGCTCTCCCCCCTCCCCAAAAATGCCCCCCAGCTGCACACCCAGCTGCTCCAGCCCTCTGGGACCCAGGTCCCTTCCCCTGCCCAGACCCTTTCTGTCCAGCTCTGTAACAGCACCCCTTACCCTGGTGCTGCTGGCCTCAGCCATACCTGACTGGATCTCTTCCACAGCCTCCCATTCCTCCCGGGCTCGCTGCAGCTCCTCGTTGATCTCTGCCGGAACAAAGGCAGGCTGGCAGTTAGAGTCGGCTGGGAGACCCGGAGGCTGTTTGCTCCCTTCCCCCAGGACATCTCGGGGCAGGAATTCCCCTCCTTGGCGGAAAACCCCCAACCAGAGTCCCCCCGAGGTTTCTCCTTGGCAATTCCATGACAAAGCGAGGCAAAGGCTTTGCAAAGCTGGAAGCAGATTTGCCTGCAAGCCCAGTGCTGCGTTCCTCGGGCTCCCTTCGAGCTCCCAGGGTATTTCACCCACCAGGAAAGAATGAGATCGAAGCGGAGGAAGCAGAGGAACAGCTTACCAGCGCCCGCGGGCTGCCCCGCTCCCCGCACGAGAGCCTGCAGGAGGCCGTTTTGTCTCAGAGCCGAGATCTACGCGGGGACAGAGAGAGAAGCAGCCGTCACCTGCCAGAACAGACCCAGAAAACCCAGGGCTCCCCAAAACCCTGAGCTCTTCCCGCAGGGAACCAACCCCACTCTCTGCTTGCAGGCTGGGGGGGAGGGGAGGGG